GTTGTAATGTAATGTGTTAAGTGTCAGCAGGATGACGTTTTGTCTGGGACACCCCTCCCCGTTCAATCACATTGATGGTCGGCTGCACGTTATGGTCGTACGGGTTATATCAAATTCATATCAAAAATATTGCTTTTTCAATTGAAAAACAACGTTTTTATTGACAATCCAGAGAATGACTATTTTTATTCAGTAAAGCCTTCGTCATATACTATACTATAGTGTGTTTTTCGAGCCCAAATTTGGTCAGTTCCAATAATATGGTGTTTACATAAGGTCGTCACTCGCATTGCACACCATATAAGCTGATTTCTCTAAATTACCCCGACTCTCACTGTTTGTCGATGGTCCGTGGTCCAAATATGGGTATTGTTTCTTCTTTCAGAATATTTGATCATGATATTGACAATATGATAACTTCCATAAAAGGACACTAGGTTTTTCTGCGATGTGAGATAATAGTACACAGTACATATGTGCAATCACGTGACACGAGATAATACAACACCTGTCTGCCATCCCAGAAACACTGTACGTTATTGTTCATATTTGATGTTTATATGGTTTTACTTTATATGGATTCACTTATGAATTGCAAAATAAGTTGAATGAGTTCTCAATACTTGAAAGAGAATGTTTCAATTCGGTTTTGAGTTTTGAAATTGTTTAAGTTCTCAACGACGGTGAGGCCAGCGCCCTCATCAGTCGGGTGTCAACTTACACAACGGAAGAGCCGTTTATGAATGACTCACCTATGCAAATAAGCAAAATGGCGGATATATATTAAAACTAGGGTTTGAAAGATTACTGGAGATTTCAGTTGCCGACTGTCTGTTATCTTTCAATGTTTTGACATACACATCTTTCCACCAGTACCAACTTTTGTCGAGTGTCGAATGGATCTTCACCGATGTACTGAAATTCCACAAAAACGAAGATAACGTTCGTATTTAGGTATGTACAGTAATGTTTTGAAATACAACGCACATTACGTTGTGACTGACCGGAAGACTATTTAGAATATAGACAAATGTGACTATTTTATACGCGACAAAGATATTATTATCGTCGTTTGTGTTTTACAAACCGTATATCTATTCAAGTATTGTCGGTTGGTACAAGAGTTATCAGCTGTTATGTTACGTATGTCGCGGTGCGTGGGTGACGTGCACGCAGATCCATCTACTGGTCACAGTATTCTTTATCCAAACCTCGTTTAGCCTATAACACAGCCTTAGTTTTGCTGACAAGAAACTGTTCTGGTCATTTATCCAGTACTTGCCTCGGGTGCCGTGCCCTTGCTGATATTGTTTGACATTTGATACGTAGGTGCAGTCACGTACTAAGTAACGTGTAAGGTTGTCAAAGTGGTCAAAGTGGTCAAAGTGTTGATGTCGTTTACGATACAAGGCTGTATTCACCCTTTTTTGTTTTCTTTATTTTATCAATGACCCTCACGTAGAGGTTCAGTCTGGCGCACTTCTAAGATGGTTGTTCTGTTGGTTTAATTAAGTCATTTTACAGCGTATCTTTTTTTGCGGATGATTTAGTTTTGATGTCTTACAATGCAATTGGATTACATTAAATCATATTGTGATAATTATCCTTCGAGAGTTACTTTAGACAAAACCAATGTCATTTTTTAGAAAAGAAGAAATGCTACAAAAATACAAATAGTGAGGTTATGATTGAAAAATAATTGCAGTAGTGTCGTATTATGTTTATTTGAGAATAAAACTTTCACTACGTCGTTCTTAGTCAGTGTGCTAACAATATCAAGCAAAGCAAGACTTCAAAAGTGTTCCATGCACTCGTGGATGGTAGAATAGGCTCAGTGCCAATTTCTCTTTGCTTTAAAATATTTGACAAAAATAATTGTTCCAATAATGCATTGCGGAAGTGAAATTTAGGGTCATTCTTATTCTCCAGCTGTTGAAAATATTTACATTGAATTTTGTAAATTTGTGCTTTACATGCCTAATACACTGGTAATCCATACAGAAATTGGTTGTCCCACTATGTATTCTTTTTGATTAGTTAGAATGATGAAATATTGGCTGAAAATACTCAAAATGGACCCAAATCATTATGTATATCAATGCTATACTGTACAATTGTCAACACACATTAGCTAATTCAAACAAGTAATGCTGAGTTAAATAATTGGAAGGAATACTTTTTAGTTATGGCTTTGAGGAGATGTGGTACAACCAGGGTGCTGGCGATGAAAATGTGTTTCATCAGCAATGTTCTGGAATTGATTTCCAGCAATGGTGTAGTATTGTAAATGTGTTTGACAGATTAACTTTATTATGAAAAAAGGTCACTGAGTTAAACTAATATATTCATTTTTATATTCACTATTTTATTTGTTGTCAGTGACGTTTTAGAAATTTGTATAATCAAACGTGCCACATTGTCGCACAAATTCTGAACATTTCATAATCCATACTCGACTGGACCCTAAGAAAAACTGTAACTGTATCCCCTCTCTTATATGCACATGTATTTGTGCAGTCACCTTAATAAAGTATTATTGTATGTAAATAAGTAATGAGAAATAACTGTAAACTCATAGTACATGTACAGGTAGCTGCTGACATAGATAGTAAAACAAGTAAATAACATTGAATAAACGGCATGGTAAATTCTATGTCAAATAAAAAAAAAACGTGTACTGCGTGTGTGACTCAAACTGATGCTCCTGATGACACCTAATCACCTAACTTCAAATCAGGACATGTACATGTATTCCCCTTGCCCAAATGCATACATGTACATGTATGTAGTAGACTTGCTAACAGTCTCTTGTTTGTTTATTTGTTGTGTTTTTTCAATAAAATAAAATATTATGGTACATGTAGTATAAATGGCAAACCATAAACAAAAGACACTTGTGACTCTAGTACATGTACATGCCCTCTTGCAACATTGATGATTGTCATTGGTCTGGGTTCAGTAGTGATGCAATGATTGACAGGTTCATCACCAATCAATGTCAAGATCAGGATTGGGGCTAAATGTTTATAAACAAACATTTGTCTCAGCCGTTTTAGAATGCATCGAAACTGAAATTTTGCATCCTTGCATTGCAAGACAGTGTCAAAGGTACACTGAAGATACTAGACTATACATCGCTTTGAGATTAGAAATAAGAGGTTATTGATGTATACATGTACATGGACACTTCTGGGGGAGGGAGGGCACAATGTTTTTGTGAGCGTTGGTCTATCAAACAGTTTGTATTAAAATCACTAACGGCCAACTTCAAACCAGCTTCTATGATTACCCAATTTTTCTATATTTCACCCACGTAATCATTTATTTTACATCTTTAGATGTTTCTATCATTTAATAGTAATAAATAGGAATGAGTAAAATTAAAATTGTAAACTACAAGACATTTTGTAAGCATTTTCACTACTATAACTTATGCAGTTATGTTTAAATCTCAAATAAAGTTTTTATTTAATTTCGTGAATGAGTTATTTATGAAGTTTCCAGTCTTCTTTATAGTGTTGTAACAAACTTGCGAGTTTTTTTTTGACTTGGTTTTGTGTTTGTGAAGTCATCCATCCTATAAGACATGGTATAGTTGTAGTTATAACATACGCCATTTATTGTGAAGGTACTCAGTAGATATAGTACATTATGTTGGTAGTAAGTTGGTTGCTAAGTGACAGCTACAACTGGAAATATATCTACCAGTAGTCAGAATTCACTACATGTTACGATGTACATCTCTAAACGCCATATTGGTATCTCTTATTTATAAAGGCCTTCAACTAAACACCATAAAAGGGTATTTGTATTGTCACCGTTGTCAAGAGTACTGAGACCCATGCCTTCAAATCATAAACTGCTTCTTTCCAGTGATAAGCCATATATACAACCATGTCAGTCTCTCACATTAAGCCATTATGTATATACTGCCTATAGCTGTATGTTTTCTGTGTGGCCTTTATCCCATCTTGTGGTGCTACATAGGAACCAATAATGAACACAACCTTTTCAGTGGAATCTACTTACAATTATACTATATCTCCAGTCATGTCGAAATGCAAAATCACAGTCATTCTATCATTTACCTAATAGAGAGTCACCACAAATCTACCAGGTTGAGCAGAGTAATCTGTTCAAGAGAGGGCATCAAAAAATTGAAATCAGATAAAAATAAATTCTTTTAAATATTTGGGGGGGGGGTAGGATTTTTTGGCCCAGAAAAGTTTCTAACTGACTAAATTTATTTTATTTTTTAATGAGTCCTTGTTCACATTAACCGTTTTTTAAAGATCTAAGCTATACAATTATTTATATTCTAAAATATTAATATTCGATATGCACACACTGATTAAGTTATAAAATCATGAGTTTTGTTTATTATGATAATTTTTGTAGTGCACCATTGCTGAAAATGAAGTCAAATTTATGCACATGATCAATTATTGATGATAATGATACTTTTTTTTTTATGAAAAAGTAAAGTCTGCTTGGAAGGTTATGCCCAGACTGTACTGTATCTAATCATGCAATTTGGACAATTTTTTTAAATGTTTGCGAATTTTTCAAGGCATTGAAAATCATGTTATTTTATACATGTAGCAGTGAAATTTTGTCTGGAGTTCTATGACAGGAAGTGTCCATGACTTTCCCGTAATTTTGTCTCCATGAACGCCACAGAATTACCAAATCACAAACATTCCTATCAGTAAATATTAAGTGCTTTATGATAAAATAAATTAATTTAACTGCAATGGTGTGGAAGTGATATGATACATGTATGTGATAAATATTTTCCTGGAAATTGAAAAATGACAAATGTAAAGGAGCTAGTCAATGTCAGACTCAGACTGGTTTGCTAATGTTCTTATATATTAGCAAAACATGTATATTTCATTTCAAAGAATTCACTACATATTGTGATGCCATTGGTTAGAAACATATTTGATTTACGATAATTTCATCTCTTTTTAAAACTTTTGTTTATTTATTATTCAAAA